CATTTATTAAAAATATAATATGTTATTTTTGGAAACAATTAGGGTATGCCAGTATAAAAAAAAACTATTATATTTATTATTACGCTTCGTATATTGCATCATGTTCTTATCCGGTTTCCATACATTTAAGATTAATTATTTATAACAAAGCAAAAGACTTACTTTATAAAATTGCATTGAATATTTTAATTGTATAGTTCTCTTACATGTTTTAATGTCGGTTCATTTAAATCAATGAAGGTTTTCCTCTATCTCAGATTTATTGTGTATACCTAGGTAATGTTGGTACACTCGACAAGTTATTTGATTGTAGTAATTTAAAAATTCGTTGATATTCTAGTGCGAGGAGTTAGTAAATCTACATACACGGAACTGCTATCAAGTGTTGGGTAACAAACGCTAGAAAGAGCTACGTTACGTACAAGTTTCAATACAGCCTCGCTACGTAAGGCCGTGGTTGCAGTCACGTCGGCGGTGAGAGGCGCCCCTCCTCCGACGGAAGGTCGCGACCAGTTGTCGGACTGTGAAGGAGACCGCCACTAGAACGGATCCTTGCCGACATATACGAACGTTATAATTATTTGTCTTGGTTGATTCTATATTATTATTGATTTTACCTTATGCTTACTGCCGTTAGCCAAACCTGTTTTAATTTTCGTTCGCCAATATCTTCATATCACAATGCTTATCAGTATAAAAATACTGTTTATAATTATGCGAGTAATTTAAAGGACAGTACAATCAGCCAATGTTATCAAAGTAAAAGGTGATAATAAGTGTACACATTCAACTGGACCAAATGTCAGCAATCTAATCAATAAACATGTGCGATACAATAATTTACATAGGAGTAGTAGTTCATTCACCGCGATCTATGAGATACAATGGAAACTATAATATCAAAAATACTTCACTTCTAATGTCAATAATATTAGCTATAGAAAATCGCGCTTTGTTGATTTGTTGAGGCACATGTAATTAACAAGTCAATGTTACCTCACCACACCGACGATTGCGACAAGAAGTCGTATCGTCCATTAGAAAGTCGGCGAATATGCAAATAGTTGTAGAAACCTCACGAATAACTGGCCGCTCGCTCACTTCGCCTTCAAATATGTGTGCGATGAAAGTGTCTGCTACCGTTAGTAATTGTGCTACAAAATTTTTTTTCACCGGTCGTATTGCTAAATCCACTTATCAAGTCTATTCTGAACGCGTGCGAATTTGTAGAGTCGCTAGCCGAGCGTTTTGAATTTCTTTAAAAATGAAATTTCGTCCGACTAAAACGAGCACGCTTATCAAGTGCTCGTCTACATGTTTAACATTCATTTAACTTTATTCACACTTAATGTCACTTTCTACCCAAACATATCATTGTAACGGCCATTTGCGCTATTTAAAAACAACTTAATTTACTATTCCTATATATTTTGAAATCAACAGATTGATTTTGATTTCTGTTGTAATAACATGTTTTATAATTGAATTCGTTTTCAATAATGGACTAAAATTGCTACAGGACCGTTAATTTAACCTTGTCACGCTTTATATAAATTTGGGTCAATGATTTTATAATGCTAGATTTTCTTTAATGCCGAGACAATATTGCCAATCATATTTTTTTACAAACAAATATTTCAGCACCGCCTTGGTAGTTATTTGAATAATTTCCCAGGTTATTAATTTTTTAATAAAAATTATACATGGAACAGCCAATCGCCTGATCATTTTGTCAACGCTTATCTTCATACTGACTCAAGATAACAACAATAAAGCGGTAAGCAATTAACGTTGTGTCGATCACAGCTCGGCTGCGTGGAATTCCCGCTATGATTCTTGTTGTAGTGAACTATTTATTATCGTTGAATGCTGACGTGCGTCAATGTTTAAAATCTCCTTATGAACTCAATGTCAACGGATTTAAGTCGATATCACATCGTACCACTCGTTCCACCTCCACGCTCTTACGTCAATGATATACAACACGTTAACTGGCTGGCTGGACTGGGCTGGGCCGCTCTACCGCCTGTTTTGTGTCCGGGTTTGTCGCGTTCGATCATTCTATTTCTCAAAATTTTTGGAATTTATTTTTGTTTAATGTATAACATTTGCAACGAGTTATTTCATTTTTTGTAATCATAGCATGATTATAAGTTGACGCTTAAACCGCTCCATTAAATCAAACCGGTTGCGGTCGGCCTCTCACTTCGCAACTTTGTAACGCACCCTACCTACGTTTGTTCATAAAATTAAGTAATCAACAGCGCAATGGAAGCGCAATCGTCGGTCTGAACAGAATGAAAAAAATCTATTTAAACACGGTCGGACCTAAAAATATTACAACACGTATCTAATGACGCGATTGACTTCTACTAACGTCGTCACGCTATAAGAAACTTAAGATCATTAAAATGTTTTATGAAAACAACTACCTATTTCCTCGTTTTCCGGACATGCAGAAGTGCAAAAAACACCACGACCTTCGCTAGAAGACAACAATGCTGAACAACCTTCAAGTCATAGGTTATTAGAATGCATTGCACTTGTGGCATTAAAGAAAATAGGCTACTCAGATTTTTATGAGTTTTCTTTTGACGAATCCTGAAAAATAATGCTATCAGAGCAAATAAACAGACAATAGATATTAGGCATGAGCGCACAAATATAACGGGCGAGACGGCTGTTCACCGAGTGCCGAAGTATTCCGCCGCGACGCGCTCTTTATAGCGGGCCTGTCTGCAACGTAGAGAAAGCCGCCCCCGCGCTCCTCTCGATGACTGCGTTTGCCTCGTAGCGGGTTTTTTCCTCATCACTACCATAATTGCATATAGTATGTAGGTATGTCACCTTGAGTTCATCAATCGCGGCGCAGGTTCTACTGAGTTTGTATTGATTTTGTTTCATGTTAGCTAAAGCGGTAGAGAATTGTACAACACTACTCGAACGCTGTCCATAGCTCTAATTATTTATTTTATTTTTAGGATATTGTGTTTCAGCGAATGATTTTGAATGATTTAAGTTATGTCTTATTAAGGCAAAAGTACCTAAATAGGAATTTGTTACATTGAGACAGTGCGATTTACCATCTAGGACTTCATCACCAATAAACACCAGGTGGGATTGTAATCTAGCACTGGCATACAATAAGTAAAAAATTTAGGTATAATATGAGTGCCTACTCTAACAAAGTTAGCAGACCAATATTAAAGTAGGTACCTAATTAACAAAAAAGTACAACGATACGTTAAACTTCCTCTATGAATTTTTATAACTTGGCGTTTGCATAGTACGGTACAACTTTGGGAATACATAGTTTTATTGTTCTGTTGGAGTGTACATCGCGAGATACTTTTTAATAGGTTAATTGGCTGGCATTGTGGTGCTGGCACACTTCGTCTACCGCGACCTTAAAACGGCCGGGGGCCACGCACGTAGGTGTGTTCATCATTAGGCGACACGCACTATTACGATCTGTGATTTCGGTCTAATTTTTTTTAGTATTTAGCAATAATCAGCCTGCAAAAAACATTTAGTCACTCTTTATATTATACACATTTATATACCAATTGAACAAAAACATTAATTCTTATACTTTTGAAAGAATTCGCTGTACTTAATAAATTCACTGTAACGACCGATGTTCTGGCAATAATACGATTACTTACTAATTATAGATGTTTGTTTCATTTATATTCTCGTGCGAGCCAGTATCAGTATACGGCAGTGAAACGGTACAGTGAACACAGTGGCATATTGCAACCACAGCGTTGCAATTCCTAACGATGAAAGTCTGCGCACCACATATTATCAATGCTCCTGTGTCATTTTAAATAGACACGACACACATACATTTTGCGTCTTGGAAAGAACCAGCAAGAAACCCAACGGGACTTTTTATCGAAGTAGTTAGATTACAACAATTTATGTGTAATACGCATTTTAGACACAGCTTACGACTTACGACTCTGTCGCATTCTGTCGAAAGCAATTATTGATTGTTTGGATCATAACATTTTGACGAATAAACTTTAATTCGTTAATATACGCGATAAAATCCGTAAGAACTAGTTTTATTTAAATGAATAAACTCTTAACTTTAATATGATGGCATTCGTAATGCCGCATTTTAGGTGCAATAGTAGCGTCGTCGGAACATGTGATTAAAGTTGGTGTCGCCAGGCATCGATACTTGACCCTTTCTGGTTCTGTGGTATGGTAGCAAAATCTCTGTGATAGTTATGTTTGCTGATGATACTCCTTTTTATTTAAAGTTAAAAGAAACGACTTCGCACTGAAAAGATCTAACCAAATACTGGATATTATTTCCAAACGGTTTGCACCAAACATTGCTTTTAAATGCAGAAAAAACTAAATGTTTATAGCACCACGGAATGCTGTAATTAATACAAAAAATAATGATTTAGATTTCAATCATGTTTTTCGGAATTTCTACTGATTCCGAGCTCCAGTGGGGAGCACATATTGCGAAACTAGCTTCAATTTTGCTATTAGGAGCATTAGAAAACCGACTGATGAAGTGGCAGCTAAATTGATCTACTTTTCTTACTTCAACAGGATCATGCCTCATGGTCTTTTTGTAAGTGTAATCATCGCTTAATAAATAGCCATCTTCATATCGGTGAACGTAAACCTGTGTACATGTCTAAGCATTTAAAAATAGAATAGTAGGATTTGTAAAATCCGCCAAGCAACTATTTAAAATACATCTATCTATCTTCGATTAAAAATTAAAACGCAGATGCGTAAGAATAATATAATAAGAAGAATAAGATGGAATACCTCGTTACTAGTAAAAAGGTTCTCGTCACTCACCATGCGAAAAAGCACTGATATTCTATTCAAGCGTAGTTTCTTCTTGGTATCTTCTCGGTCGAGCCAACCAATTCGTATAGCTGTCATACTATCTACTGCGTGATTTATCACGTTAAACTGAATGTTGTATACTCTTTAATATTTCGTATTTTCCTTTTTTTTTTCAGAAAATATCAATTCCGGCCCCAACAAATGGCTCATCGAGTGAGTCCACATTTCACTTTAGTATCAACAGTAATGCGGAAATGGAAGGTCCACAGGTATGCAGATAAACAGACTCAGTTTGTCATTTAAGTTGGTTTTATTGATTTAATGTTAAAATTACTCTGTCTTGTTCTTGTCTGTACTCTTTCACAACACTGGAAGATATAACTGTTAATCTAAGTTATGAGGGGTTAAGTAATATTTTTAACTTCAAAGTTGTTTTTATATTTGTGATTTTATTTGACTTTTACCATATAATATCTTGCCATTTACGTAAATGTTTGTATCGGGATTCATAAACCGGAGCTCTAATATATTACATATTATGATATATTGGTGACACACGGAATGCTTGAGAAAGGAGTGCTATTCTGTGCTTTGTGTTCGTTTGTTTCGTTATTAATTATAGTTAGTGTTCGGATTAGCCAAAGCTTTGCATGTATAAACTCCCGGCTTTCTTTCTCTCATGTTTTCAAATTACCGGAATTTGTGGAAGTCTTAGTTTAAAAAAAACTGTGGTTAGTAGATAAAAAAAAAACCTAAAAATGATTATTATGTTTTTAATAAAATCTTACTCTCTATCTGTAAATATTAAACTAAGTTTTTTTTAAAGAAAAGGCTTCGTCTTGTTTACTGTTTATGTAAGTAACATAATAATAATACCCAGCGAGCATTGACCACGAAATAGATTTCTACTTTTGGTTTTTATTTAAGTAATGATGACTGAACTTTATTAAAAAACTTTAATAAAATTACAAGGTACATACGACGGCTTACAAATAAATACGTTTTGATATAACTTAAATTTCTGAGAACTGTTAAATAGTTTTTTTTTCTGTTATTACATCGCAATAGTCACCAGTGTCAGCAATTTCGCCACACTATTTTATTATAAATAATGATATCTAATCCTTCGGTGTGAAAGTGGCTTGAAACTTCTTTAAATTACAAGACAATCTGATCAACATTAGCATCCAACTTAACTAAAATTCATTTTACTGAACTGAAAGAATTGAGCTACGCTAGAGCCATGTTGATTAAAAACAATTATCTAGAATCTAGATAAAGAAAGATGATACGCTATATGGCTACGTGCAGGAGCTGCCCGCGCTACAGATTTTTTTATAAAACCTTGTAAAAAAGCAATGGATCGAGCTATACAACTTATTATAGTTCATGTATTAAATTAATCTCGAACTAAACAACCGGAAATAACACGTACCGGCTTATTCCTGTTTGGGCAGTCTCCCGTTTTTCCTGTACCGGTGCTAATCAATATTATTAGCTTTAATATGGCTATACAGCCAATTTCTAAACAGAAGTTGAGCCATATTGACTTTATATAACTATCCATTATATAATATATACACATTGAGATTATGTACGTATAATATGTTGTTTACAATTCCGTGCAGTGCAACTATCGGATTATTCTAATTATTAACGCGCTATCCTTGTTTTAAGTTTAACTATAACATGACTACTTTGCAATGTTAGTAGAATTTTAATACTTTGCGTCAAGAGTTCAAGAGACGGCAGCAACCTAAGTTTGTAAACGAATTCAGTAGTTCGAAGTCATAATTTGCGTATCGCCCGTACTCTAGACTTTCAAGAAATCTGATTCCATTTAAAATAGATTGAATGAAAGGATAGAAATGATTACATCATAGGAATTTCACTGAAAAAAAAAATTTGTGCCTACTAAAGAGCTGTAATACGTAATACGTAAATGGGCTGTAATACGTAATTCTCTGAAAAATAAAATGTAAACAAAATTTATACATAAAATTATTGTATATTACGTAAATAAACATGCCACGCTGCGACTTGCATGCGCAAAAAATTTGTGCAAAAATTTGCGCAAACAACACCGTGCACTGCACAACGTCCACGCGATAACGTCTTGCGTGCGCAAACAGTTTGTACAAAGTTATTGCAAAGAATATGTGTCGTCCAAGCGCCGTCTTAACGTACACGCTTGCTTGTGCAACTTTAGTTTGCACAAATTAAGCATTTATGCATGCCGTTTGCATGGTATACCGTTTTGCCGGCTTAACGGACATGCTTGCTTGTGCAAATTTGAATTTGTGCAAGTAAGATTGAGCATGCAGCCGGGCCTTTAAGTATAATTATTTCCACAAAGTAACACTTGATTCTATTATCTGATTATCGACTGTCGGTCAAGTATCTCCGAGGTTGACTAACGAATTGGCACATTATTTTTTATAAATACGTTCTATACATCAAAATCCTATGTTAGAAGTGCAAAATTTAGTGTTATATTAAAAATATATTAAATTTTGATGTGAATGTCATAGCCTTCCATAATATCCGCTAACATTAATACAATACCGTTACAAAATTTAGGTCCTGCAAATAAATCATGTTGTGTTTGGATTATAATTAATAATATATTGGTTGTGGCATAAATAACAGCTTTGTGGTTAGGTTTATGTTTTTAATTATTTCATATGTATTTATTTATTTATATAAAGGTCCCACATATTATTATTTTATCATGCTGTGATTTGTTCATGTCATGATGCCACGGAATTGTCCCAGAGAGAGACTAGCGCCAGACGTAACTAGAATATACTGCAGCTAGACTAACTTGATTTGCTTTTTATTATGCTAGCTAACTTCCAAATATTATTTGTTTAGAATGTTTTCCTTATTTCAAATATTTTATTCTTTCGTTCTATTGTAGAATTAAGTTCCAAATTAGTTCCAAACTGTAATTTTAGGTAGGAGTAAACGTAGGAATTATATTCTCTTTGGGTATGAGTATGTAACTAAAGAGTATTTGACTGATAGAAGTAGCATATTAAGTGTGAACACAGTAACAGAAAAAGTGTGAACATGTGACTTTCTGATTGCAGGGTTCGTTCGAGTGCGTGCGCAGCGGGGGCGCGCGGCGGCTTGAGTCGTGCGGGCCGCTGCCTAGGCGGATGCGCGTCCAGGCCAACGACGACTCGTACGAGGCCACCAAGGACCGCATGGCGCGTACCGTCGCCGCCGAACAGAGCAAATGGTGAGCAGGGATATGTGCTCCTAAGATATCAGTTATAAAAATTTCAAAGAATTGACTAAACTCATCTCGCCGGTTAGATCTATGAGCGCAGCGTCGATACCCTCGCAATGCTGCTTACTTATCACTAGTCACTGAGATTTTTAATTTGTCATATTTGGATGGATTCATCATGAGTGATCAGCACTGCGCGCAGTTGCGGTTTGCATTTAGAAAGACAATGAAAAAGAGAAACTATGAAGAATTTGTGTACCCTTATCTTTTTTTATTTTGTTAATTCTAAGAAATTTTTGTTTGATATCATAATACGTTTATTAGTTAAGGAAGTGATTAAAAAAAAACTACTGTTCACAGCACCCGCGTTATAAAACCTAATCAGACGGACATAGGACGGCGGGTTAAAATGCGCCTCTCACATCCCATGTACTCGGGTGGATCGGCGTCGGCGCAACTAGCGGAAAGGGCCGAGCGGGCCGAGAAGGAGCGGCTCGAACGTGCCGAAAGGGATCGTGCGGAGAGAGCCGAGAGAGAACGTGTCGAGCGGGCCGAGAGGGAACGCGTCGAAAGGGCCGAGAGGGAACGGGTCGAAAGAGCCGAAAGGGAACGTGTCGAAAGGGCCGAGCGGGAACGGGTGGAGAGAGCCGAGAGGGAGCGAGTCGAGAGGGCCGAGCGAGAGCGGGTGGAGAGGGCCGAGCGGGAGCGGGTGGAGCGGCCGGAGCGGACGGAGAGGGCGGAGCGCGGCGAGCGGGCGGCGCCGCGCGGCGCGCCCCCGCCGCAGCCGCGCCCGCCGCCCGCCGCCGACGTCTCGCGCCGCTCCATCAAGTGAGTACCGCACGCGCACTCGCACCCGCACGCACACGCACGCACACAACACGCAAATACTTAACGTGCTAGTGTTTACTGTCTGCCTATCATTTTCGTAATTTTTTTAAAAAGTGCAATTAGTATTTCATATAGTATTTTTTTAAAGATATATTTGCAAATTTTTGGGGTGAAGCTGCCATTTAACGCTTTCTATTCTCGTCCTACATCATTCAGTCTTTAGACTACTGTCATAGAACACACACACTACACAATGAACGCAATTTATAAGCCCTTCAACACATCTCCTATGAATATCATCATCACTCTGCTTACACTTTGTTGACATCATCTATATTTGACAGATTTTCGATCCACAAAAATAAGTGTATTATGAATAAACTTAAACGTGTAACAACATCTTGCATAAATTCTGCTTCTCCTGCTGCATCTAGAGTAATAGAAATGCTATATATGTCACACCTACGCGTTGTTAGGACTTGGGAGCACTAAGCTCGAGAAAGTCGATGAATGCAGGTCGCTCAGGACCCTGCTTTGTGGCGTTTCTTGGGGGAGACCTATGTTCAGCAGTAAACATATGAACAGCCCTTCATATGTGTAATGAATGAAAAAAAGATAGAAATGATCGTTCCTATATTAGCCTGCGACACGACATTCTTAGGGCTGCTGAACAAACGTGACAATACTTTTTGCCGTCACCACAGGGTGGGTGCATGACAGTAAACACTTTTTATGTAACAAAGGCAACCTAAATAACTTTTCCCGCAACAATATCGTAAATTTCTGATAAAATTGTGTAACATCTTGGTAGTTTCAAGAAATTATATTTCTGTGAATTCACGTTTTCCTTATTTACATCACGTAGCGAGGAAGACTTTAGCCCACCTTCTTGTTAGATGTTTCGTCATTATTCGAAACCGCTTGAACTCGTAAACTATATCTCACTGTTCGCTGAAACAAAATTAACTTATTGTGAAATTGTATTGTACTATTGTTTTAAAATCAAGAATTGTATTCGACACTGGCGAAATTATTCCAGTGATTCATTATATTTCATAATAAATAAAAATATTGGACGCGCATTCTATTTGTAGATAATTTACCATATCGTTATCACAAAGCATAACATCATAAAATGCGGTCGACACTTACAGGAAGTGTTGGTCGACGCGGTGTAGTGCGAAGATATCTAAAGTTTGTTTTTCCTAAAACGACGTTCAGTAATCATAATGTAATAGGTGTCATTTTATATTATTAAACACATACGTAACTTAATGCAACACAATTTTATCTTTGAATTATACTAAAGCGTATCTAAAAACCTTTCACAGCAAGTTAATTAAAAACTGATTGTTATAATTGTTGTATAAATGCTATTATTATTATTATTTAATATTAATAATAATTACGTCATATAAAATATGAAAGCTGGATCTGTAACAGATCAAGAGTGGTTAGACCTTTTTTTTTTAACAATAGACAAACGAAATTTTAATTTCTTAAGGTGGAATATACGGTCTGTACCCGGCCATATTCCCGCGAGATGTAAGCGCCATCATTTTTTAGCTTATTTGAGTTTTTGTGTAATTGAAATGAAATGAAATTTATTTAACATACATTACATTATAGTTGTACCTTGTACTTTGGTTGCAAATTTTGTCGTTACCACAACATTTTAATAGTATAGTTACTGTTACCAAACCATACGCGCAATATAGAGGGATATTTGCATAGTACCTAAGCCACGCTTGAGAGGCTGGTTGGCAAAACGCAGTTTTTAATTTTTATGTTGTTATTAGGAAGATGCTTACTGCATCTCCTGATTTGTTTGTTTCATGATACCAAGGGGACGATAGTGGGTAGTGGATATTCTTACACCGCCACTACACGGTCATATAGTATCTTTAATAAGTTTTCCTTGAAGTATAATTATATTCTACACATTAAATTAAATATGTATATTACAACTTTATAAAAATAAAAAGGTGCGAAAACTATTTTAAACGTAAATAAGTATATAATTAGAAACCTGCATCTTTTATTGAGGTGTGTACGTCATGTAGCATTCTCATCGCAGCAATTCAAGTTTACACTGTGATTATAACGAGACTATAATATTATACTCATGCGGCACATGTAACGAAACGTAAACCAAGGTCACGCACAAACCGTTTACAAATGAAAACGGTTCCCAAGGCAATTTCCGTTACTTTGATCTGTTATAAAATGGCATATATACATTTTGTAAGCAACAGGCCCACTTTATTTAAAGCATTTGGTTCGAAACATCGGTTTTGGGTATTCGATGCCGGGATACCAAGTATTGGTTTTCGTTACTCTCCGCGCTTGCCGCTAATAGGTTACTAATGTTCTTCAAGCTAGATAGTTGATCCATTGCCTAATTGCTATAGTTGGCTGTCAGTCACTCTGTCAGCTGCTCATATCGTATCTGTCTTAATTTAATTCAATCAGTAAGGCTAAATATTGTCCTTTTTTATATGCTATAATATGTTAAATATAAAGTGATTAATCAAAGATTTTTTCTGTTCTAGTGAAAGACTTATACAATTATTAGCACTGAAACCCTTCAAGAAGCCCGAACTATACGCCAGACTCAATAGTGGTAAGTGACGATTGCAATTTATGTTCGGGCCGCCGCTTCAAACTCAACTTGATTAACGTTCGCGCTAAACTTGCAGAGGGCATCAAGGAGAAGGATCGTGGCGAAGTTAACAAAATCCTTCCCAAGATCGGCTCCCTCAAGGACAACTGCTATCACCTGCGTAGGCACATATGGAATGATGTCAATGAGGACTGGCCTTTCTACACCGAGGAGGAGAAACGGATGCTCAAGAGGTTTGTCTCCTTCCTTACAGTATCAGAGCACCAACACTAAAATCACATTTACATAAAGTTTTCCTTAGAAGATTTTTTTTTTAATTAAATGCTCATAATGAAATTTATTTACAATAAACGCTACAAGACAACAGGATATTTGCGATGGGAATGACTCACTAATTTTACTCCTAAGTAGTCCTCTTTTTCTGCCTAGGTGTCAGTCTGGGTGAGTACACCGCCTTCTTACTTATTTCTGCCGCCATATAGTTGAACTGCTATGTTCCGGTCTGAAGGCTATAGAGGCATTCAATCTTAGTCCTCAGAGATGAAAATGCATCTGCAGCCTTCTTTATTTGTAGGCGGTTGCAGGTATCCACATGTTATGGATTTTGCATGTCCCACATGATCCACTTAAAGTTAGGGTAGTAGGCAGGTTTAAAGAAAGAACAGAAAATGTCTGAAAGACCTGTTGTTATCTTGCATGTATAGTGTGGCGATTATATGGCCTATATTGGATTGGATATATGGTTGGATTATAGAGCCGTGGTAGCTCAGATGGTTAGCGCTTGTTGTAAATTTCACAGTACTTGTGCAACCCGGGTTCGATCCCCACCGGCACCAATGAAATTGTTATTTGCAATTTTAAGTGCTGATTTACCACGTGCTCGCCGCTGAAGGAAAACATCGTGGGGAAACCTGCCGGGCTATTCACAATCGTCTCGGAAAGCGAATTGTGAAAGGTGTGTTTTTATAAGTTTTCTATCACAAAGCAGCATATATATATATATATATATGCTGCTTTGTGAAACGAGACATATCTCAGTTTTTTTGTTATTTATTATATAGTTAAATTATATATTTTTTATATTCGATATCAATGGCTAACTCCAAAATATTGCATTATGTTTTTATTCAGGCGTTACTTTAAAAAAATACAAAAGCCTATTTATCTACAAAATTCGTAAATGCATGTAACTAAATGACGATACAATAGTTATGGGATATATCTAAGTGACCTTTATCCGAACGTTAAATGTTAATAGCGTTTATTGGTTTCGGTGCGAGAAGTTATCGAATCCGAGTCGATTTCGCTTTCCGAGACGATTGTGAATAGCCCTGCTGCATGTCTGAATAAGAAAAACAAATTCGAAGATATGTGAAGTTCGCCAACACGCACGGATATTTCCTTGCCCTAAAACCCTCTCAGAAATGAGGGGAGGTAACTTTAACTTCATATGGCCTAAATAATATCTCATAATTTTGAATCACTGAATTGAATAAATGTTCAAAAAAACTGAAAGGTGCACAAAAGAGGCTATAAAAATAGCTATGCATTAACTTTTAATTGTAGTTATACAGCCTCAATTATTAAATGCATACTTTTTGTTACAATGATGTAGTAATGAAATTTGTGACCTTATTAATGCAGTGTTCTTATTGATTTAGAAATTAGTGTATGTAAAATAGGGGTTACACAGCAGAACATTTTTGTCTTGAGTCTGAATAAAATGTTTCTTTGGAATATAAAAGTTAACAATCACCTACCTTAATATCTTGTTAAAAATTTTACAAATATTAAATGTCCAACAATAAAGATAAGATATCGGAATAAATAGATTGACCTCATTAGTAAACAACCTTGTCTTAAAGTGTAAGGTTATAATTTATATTCGTTGCTTTACGGATTGTTTTAGGATGATCTCATTTTTGAACTGGCTTGAAATCATTTAATGTTATTTATTAGTTTTTGTGATTATTTAATAGTAATAATTTTTCTATACTTGTAGTTTACTATAGTTATATTATTTTGGATCTTAAACCAACATTACCAGTCACAGTAAATGCACTAAGGAGACTGAGAACTAAAATGGATTGCCTTATTTCCAGTAACAATGGTATCGTATTCTCTACGCTCATCATATATACAAAACACAGCAGCATTATGCATCATGCACACCCACTCACATTAAACAATAATTATTTGTAGGTGTAGGCCATAAAATAAGCAATGCAATCAAACTCTATGCATTCATTCATTCATTCATTAGAACATTAAGTGCATTTCTAAACATAAGCCTCTTTCATAGATTGCCTCATACAAAAGATATTTGCCATAGTTTTATTAACTGTTATGGGGAAGATGCTGCCCACCCATTTCCTGTTTTATTTTCCTTCTGTCACTCCCACGGGTGGTCTTTTATGTCGTCACTATATGTCACTAACCACTGCGTTATCAAACCTTCACTTACTTTGACCACAAGTGCATGCTATAAACTCAAGTGTTTATAAATAGTTAAATAATAATTATAATTCTTTAACAAAAAGTGAAAACCGACTTCTAATAGCTAAAAACGAAGTTATTCATTTGGACCACCCTTGAAGTGTAACCTATTTAATTAAAAAAAAAAAAGAATTATCAAAATTTGTTCACATTCTGCGAAGATATCGCATAACATACATACAAAAAAATACACCCGAATTGAGAACCTCCTCCTTTTTTAAGTCGGTAAATAAAAGAAAGATTATTTGGTTTGCAGGCGGAAACCTCAAAACCTAACCCCGCCTCTGAGTAGCGACTCTGCAAACTCGCTGTCGCCGCGCGCGTCGCCCGGAGGCAGCAGCGGTGGCAGCGGGGGCAGCGGCGGCAGCGGCGGCAAGCGCGCGCCCGGCGCCGGCGAGGACGCGCCCGCCGCCAAGAAGAAGCGCATATCGCACTACCGCCGCCCCTCGCCGCCCTCCTCCGGCTACGCCACCACCTCCTCGGGCGAGCGCCACGCCTCCGACAACGAGGACGACCGGACCAATGGTACTGTCCTCTACTCTACTTCACCTCCACCGCCTAACCAACAGGACTATGTAATATCACTGATATTTAAGTTTAAAACATATTCAGCACCATTATATTTATATATTAAATAAATAACATGTGTATTTATAAAATATGATTATATATTATATATTTAAAGTATACATTCCAAATTGATTAACTCTCTTCTTTTGAAGTCACTTAATCATAGCACTGGTATTAAACAAGTATTAATGTTTAATAGGAAAATATTTAAAGATGCGTCTTTAAATCATCCCCTACATGTATATTAGTTAAATTCAGATAATTATAACTTTTAACAATAAATAAAAATCGGCTTCAAATTGCTAATAAACCGCATCAACAAAATCGATTGAGTTAAACTAAATATATCGCTTAATAACGGATCCATGCGTACGACGTCACGGGGTGTCAGAAACTATTAGTCTGAATCAATTTGTTGTATACCAAAACCTTCTCCAGGATGTAACTAATACTTTTCTGAAAACTGCATCAAAATCGGTTCAAGCAAACGCGAGATAATCGCAGTCAAACATACATACATACATACAACAACTGAGAAACTCCTTATTTTTTAGACGGTATAAGCAAAATGATTACCATTTCTATTGAATATCAATAGCCTACTGGATCAAATGTCGCCGATGGTTGGACGATCCATCACAATCATCAAACTTGATAGGTGATTTGGTGAGACCACCTTTGACGCTGATTTCAATCACTGGTCTTGGAATTTTATATCTAACATTTACGAAAAACCCTCTTAAAAATGAGAAGCTTACTCACATCCTTTCTGCTTTATACAACATACTGTAAAATCCCTCTACAACATACTGTAAAATCCCTCTACTCCACCTCACCTGAAACACCACTTTGAATTCATTTCCTCCTCTCACGATCGTCATCTACGTTCCACTAACAATTTTTCGCTTCGTATTCCATCACATTCATACTGCTTCTTCAATAAATATTTTTCTGCTACAGCTGTACGCTTGTGGAACTCATTGCCTTTATATATTCGACGTGCTCAGTCCCTGTTTTCCTTCAAAAATCTAGTCAAAACTTATTACTATATATACTCTAATATTCCCCATCATAATTCCCGTCCTTAATTGTATCTATCCGAACTATTCTCAACCGCCATCATCTTGTGTGTATTTATATACTTTTTTTTTAACTTGATTGTTAATTTTATGTACACTTTCCCTATCTGCAATTCTTTCAAGGATTGTCTGGAAGAAATCGCTTCCAGAACAATAAGACCTATTATATTTTTATTTCATTTTGTCTCGTCTAATGTGTATTGGTGTACAATAAAGAATATATTGATTGATTGAAGCCTGTGCCAACATATGCGACTATGTATATGTAGGCTGTTACTATATTATACAATATGTAACAAAAACCCTGTGTTTCCCGTTAAGTATGTTATCAGGATCATTATACAAACGTATAGAAATACATTTTTTTTAAAAACTTCAACAATTTTTTTTAAAATAATTGTATGCAAATTGTATGTGATTTTATTACCTCTGCATTGTCTGGGGAGTAAGAGGATTGTCAAAAACTCCGCCTTACTTAGCTTGAGCATCGGCTAGTGTCAGTAAGAGGTAATAAAACCACATAAAATTAAAAAAGAAATTAATAAAATAATAAAAAATATGGTCGACTTTTTAAAAAAAAGTTATTTCTATAGGTTTGAATAATGATGCTGATAACGTACTTAACAGGAACCACAGGGTTTTTGTTACATGTTGTATATGAATTATACCATAACCTATCACCTATTGTAAGGTGATAGGTTATGGTATGGTCAGACCATTTTGACTTCGAGCATTTGACATTCGAATTTATGACATCCACGGGACAACAACATGGTGTTCATATTTTATTTATTTCAAAAGAAGGCTTCCATGACTTCGTCTATGACTTCACATTTAAAGTATGGCTGATCTTGATATGCCATTTAATTATTAGTTCCAAAACTTGTAGTAATTAATTCAAGTGTTTAATGGTGTTTGACTGGAACACCTTTGAAACCCTCCCATGACTGTTTGGTAGTCTGAACTATTATTTCAACAGTTCTTTCAACTATTATCATAAACCAATCTTTTCATGTTATTGAAATTTTGGAAAAAACAGATTCAAATAATGCTGATGAATAATCATAACACAAACACGAAGTAATGAATTTTTAGTATTTTCTACTATTCTAAAATCAATATGTATCTATAGAACAGAACGGAATAGAATAATTTATGTTATAATAGTTCTTGAAAGTCAGTTTTCTATGTACCACTAGCATTATTTTTATAATAACAGTGGTAAAAAATTCTCTTTTATTATGTGCTATTCTATTATATTATGTCAGCTGTTGCGTTGTATCTAATCTATTGTGCTGTATAATCAGTACTAAGCTAAGTATAGTTTTATGACAACTATATCTACTTTTAATCGCTCCTGCTTAGGCTCCTTCCTGTCAATTATACACTTTGTGTGTGATAAAGATTTAAAATAAATAAAATGTATTTTTATTTTACTTTGCAGTTAAAAAGGACAATGGTTACACCCTAAACTTTAACACTGTCAAGGATCTCTGCCCCAGTCCTGTTAAAGCAAACGGTTTTAGAAGTAGTCCTCAAATAGAGCAAACCAGTATCACAGGTATTGTGACATTTTGTTTTATGTATACATTTACCATAGTTAATAGGAAATATATGAAAACATATATGGTTTTGCCTTTTTCAGAAAAAGACATCACAAATAATGAACAATTAGAAAATACAGATTTAACATCCGTGCCTGATGAGAGCATGACTGATTTGGTAGATATTGAAAGGTAAGTTTATTAATTGTTATAAGTAATAGTATTTCATATGTTATATTAAAGCATTGTGCCAAAACTTCAATAAGAAAACGTGAATTAGTTGCTTTTTTATAAAGTAGCGTATGAGGTAACATACTCCATTCAACTCTCGAAAAACTTACATCGTGTCGCGTTTAGACTTAACTCGTCAACAGCAAGAAATAGGCCTTCCCTATAGATTTCCACATGGTTGTGAGTCATCCAAATCCATTTACTTCATGCCTAATTAATAAATGTGAACACTAATGGCACTGCAACTCTACAAACTCGAAGTCACTTGGTGAGTGATCTAAGGACTTTGAAGTTTCTCTGGTGAATAAGACTCGTATTGAAGAAATCCGCTGGAGAACCAAGGTCATCGATATAGTCTTCTGTGCTTATAGAGTTGTAATGAGCTAGTCTAGGTATCTGTCGCAGAAGTGACAATAATGGAGTAGACGTCATAATAAAGACCTTAGCTGGCTAGATGGAGCAAAGACTTACGCAAGGTGGCTCTGACAGTAACTGGAGGCATGAAGGTCGGGCTAAATGGCGCGCCTACGTCCAGCAGTGGAATACTTTAGGTTTATCAGTTGGTCATATTAGAACTCACTTTCCACAGCACTTGCTTATACAAGGCTGCCATACAAACATCTTTTTTTCTGTATCATTATTATCAACAGCTCGTAAATAATCCACTGCTGGACATGAACCTCCCGTTTTTGTGTGGATTCACTTTAATCACCATGTTTGGCAGGTGGAGGTATTGATGGCCATTTATTTAACTTTGCCTTACTATTCGTCATAGACATAATCAAAAAAAAATCGATGGTGAGCTTCCCTGTTGAAGCACTGCTTGATAGCGATGAAAATTGTGCTTATGTGGCGATGAAGACATTAAATTTTAGGGAGGGGGAGCACTAGATTATTAAGGCTGATACTGAAAACATGAGTGTAGCTAGGAAGCCGCTGCCTCGTGATGCTTCCTAGTTATACCCGTTGTATCAGTACATAGAGGTTAATCCACTACAGTAGCCTAATGGTTAAAAATGCATACTGCAAATACGGAAAGCCGTATATTCGAATCCGCCTTTCGAATACCGTCGTGACACGACGGTAGACGGAGAGTATTAGAGAAGCTTTACTAGTAGCAAGATAAGTAATGACACCTGTTGATTCTTTACGTAGTAGAGCCATGCTGCAGCTATATTAGGGTTGTAGCATGAATGGGTCAGTTCGACTGGAGAAGGAACACGCTCTCACAAAACACTAGCGTAAAAAGACAGTTCAATGCTGCTGTAATTCATATGACGAGTGTAGAGGAACCGGAGACCCTTTTAACTGGAAATGTGTCATTCCATATTAGTTCTCAGGAGTGATAAAGCATCTGCATTTTGATGGGGTTAAATGTAGATATTGACCACACAGCCCACCTGCATGTAGCAGGTGGGGCTGTGTGGTCAGTTGTGGGGTTTATTGTATAAAAGCAAATGTATTTGCAGGCAGTACCCGGCGATCACGAGCTCGAGCGTGCGGCGCGCGTACAAGCAGGAGTTCTCGGAGCTGTACACGGAGTACCGGGCGCTGTACGCGCGCGTGGCGCAGGTGGCCGCGCTCTTCACCCAGCTCGAGCAGCAGCTGCGCCGCGCCGAGCCCGCCTCGCCGCAGCGCCGGGTACGACGCCACGCCACGCGACACCACGCGACACCACGCGACACCACGCGACATGCTCCACCACCACTACACCTCACTACGATATACGACATGTCACAATTCAACACGGCACACTATCATAATAGACTTATATTATTGACTAGCTGTTCCCCGCGACTTCGCCCGCGTGTAATTTGAGGTTTTAATTTTTTTGCGAGGAACCCTAATTATTTCTTATATTTACGCGAACACTACACATTTTTAAATAAAACTAATTTTACGGACCCCATCGCGTATATTAACTTATTTTTATATACCCGTGGCCACGGGTGCTGGAAAGCACCCGAAACGTCGGGAATATAAAAATAAGTTAATATACGCGATGGGGTCCGTAAAATTAGTTTTATTTAAAAAAGGAACCCTAATTATTTTTTTAAAATAAAAGTAGCGTTACTCCTTATGACATCAACTATATACCAGAGGAAGTCCCGTCAAAATCGGTCCAGCCGTTTCAGAGATTAGCCAGAACAAACACACAGACAGACAGACAAAAATTTTAAAAAGTGTATTTTTGTTATAAGTACCGTTTATACTTTCATATGCATTTAGTAAAACGCTGTGATTTTGACATTACAAACAGACACTTCAATTTTATTTATTTGTATAGATTAATTTCGAGTAACCCAATCATTCAAGTATTGATTCGTCTTTTGAATTTCAGTACTCAGATTCGGGTCTCACAGACCCGCTCGATTATATCAGTCGTATCTGACATTACTATACTCTTTAGTCGTGGGTTCTGTCAATCGTATGATCCGGAATGTTTAAAAAATGTTATTGCTATATATCAATACTTTGATGCGACCCGGGTCGAATGACTAAATAATTTACGATTAAGACATATTTATATCAAACTACAACTACAACACAACTCACCACATCGCGTAATAGAGTATTAGATATGACAAACTTTTCCTCAATATTTACGAATGACATACGGCACGTAGTATTCATTCTTATTAATACTTACATAATATATTGCCTTTTACACAAAATATTATTTTGGCTTGTCATAATTGTTTTTCATACTTTTTTTTTATATTTTTTTTTATAGGCAAATTAGGGCAAACGAGCATGCGGCTCACCTGATGGTAAGTGACTACTGCCACCCATGAACAACCGCAACACCAGGGGAATTGCAGATGCGTTGCCGGCCTTTTAAAAAGGAGTAGGCCCTTTTCTTGAAGGTCCCTAAGTCGTATCGATTCGGAAAAATCGCTGGTGGTAAACTATTCCACAAGGAAGTTGTGCGAGGAAGAAAACATCTTCTAAATCGCACAGTGGTGGACCGCCAATCATCCAGATGGTGTGAATGGTATCGGGAGTTCTTCCGCGATGTGCGTTCTTGAAATTTGGCGGCTGGGATTAATCCGAACAATTCCTCAGAGCACTCCCCGTGGTAAATGCGAAAGAAAATGCAAAAAGATGCAACATCCCTTCGCAGCGCCAATGAGTCGTGCCGATCGGAAAGGACTCGGTCGTCGACAATTCGAGCCGCTCTGCGCTGGATGCGGTCAAGTGGAAGGAGCTGGCACTGGTGAGCCCCAGCCCAGAGATGGGAACAGTATTCCATGTGAGGCTGGACCTGCGCCTTGTAAAGTTGCAGGCGATGAGCCGGCATGAAATACTGTCCCGCTCTGCTGAGCACGCCAAGCTTTTTAGAGGTCAATTTGGCCTTCTCTTCCAAGTGACCACGAAACTGCACGTCACTCGATATGTCGACGCCAAGGATTCCGATACTGGCTGAGGCAACAAGGGGAGTACCTTGAAACTGAGGAGATACGACAATGGGGTTCTTTTTAGCGGTAAACGCGCAAACTTGTGTCTTCTGAGGATTAAACTGGACTAGATTTAGTCGCCCCCAATCCGAGACTTTGTCCAGCAAAGACTCGACTTCAGATACAAGTTTGTTCCGGTATATGCCCATAACTAATTAAAATTATCGTTTAACAATAGCCAAGTAAATCTTTACGTTGTAAAATTTCCATAATTAAGTATGGCGGCATATTCAAACACTCTTTTTGCAGATTTTATCAACCAAAGAAATAACAACAAATCACAACATTATAAACACAACGCATTACGGTTGAAAGATAACAAAACCGTAAATATTGGCGTTTTGATTAGTTTTAACCACAACTGATATGATGAGTATTTATCGAAATGTCCATATCTAAAATGTTTTTTAGTTTAATGACGATTACCTCCATATGACTTTAAACATTGAAACAGACAAAATTTTAGTAACCAAGTATTACTAAAATATAACTTACGACTTATTTTACTTTTAACGTGTAATGATTACACCTGTAATTTTTAAAGTAAATTTAGTTTCCCAAAAGTACGTGACTATCTATGATAATGTCTGCCAGGTAATATGAACCATGACTATAACTTCATAGTCTAGATATATTAAAGTACCACAAGTGTATATGCTAATTTACGATATTAAGGAAAAAGTGCTTATTTACGTATTTAGTATGAGAATAATCGCCACAACATCGCCAAGAAACCTACATAACATTAGAAGTGTTTCCTCAATGATTGAAGAAACCAGAGTATTTATGTAGGTAGGTGCTTTCAGTCCTTATAAATCCATTGCTAGCTTCTACCGTTGTGGGAAGATTTGCTTAATCGTTGCACGCTCTGCTGTCAGTCGCAATCTCATCTTTTTTTTTTTAAAACGTTACCTCACACTAGGATTGTGTAGGATGTATTGTGGATCCAGGAGAAAATCCTATTGTAGGGTATACATCGCCAGACATCTCGCACCTTTAACGCTGTTGCACGTCCTCGGTCTCTGTATTATGCCGCCTGTGTATTGTATTGAAACTTTATATTGTAAGATGTTTAATAAAACCAGAAGATGATACGAGTATCACTATATTTATTGTCCACGCATCTTTTTATCGAATTGACAACACAGTTCAACAACGTTGAACAGTCATGCTAAAATATACTGCGCAGCTTTTTAAACAATATAACGATCTGTCCGAAATCTTCTTCGTTCGGAAACGGGTAACAATACAAGACCTTTGAAAAAGTTCTAAATGTAAAGATATTATTATAATGCTAAACAATTTATAAAAATGAAATATATCAAATCTAACAATATAATCCTGTGTATATGTAACATATAGTCGCCTCTTACGACACACACGCGGATCAGTGACATGTTGTTTTGTTTTTCCACCACACGGCAATATAAGCAGGTACTTAGCTAAATTTTGTTTGAACTTAATTTTCTAATAGTTTTATTAAATTTCTACAGACGATAGAGCAGCGTATCGTGGAGGAGTACCAACGCGTCCGCAACAATGTGGCGTATCAGCGCGAGAGGCGGCGTGTCAACTATCTACATCGCAAGCTCAACCATATCAAGCGGATGGTACAACAATATGACCAACTGGTAAGTCGATCACACTACTAGCTCCACTGCCATGCAGCGAAAAATACTTTATCGGCAACTTTCATAAGTAACGAAATTGCGATTATAAGAAAAGTAGTTTTTGGAGTTTATTGGAGTTTACTCCTAAAGAATCCACTTTCATATATAAGCCCGGTGTATGAAAATTTATGTATTCGTTTCCATGACTACATAACGTAGTTGCATAGTTACATAACAAGCGTTTACGTTTTTATGACTATATAATATATTTTGATGAATATAAATTATATAATTAATATAAATAAATGTATCATGCATGCTTTCAGTAATATAAAAAATACGTTCATTTACCCTCATTTACTAATCTATATATTTTATAATCGTTCGTAAGGAGTAAACTCCAGTCGTGCGTCGGAGTAGACATACACACTTTTTTAAATAACAAAGTGGTTATTGCTCCAAAGAGTAATAAAATATATGGTTATGAAGAATCTTTATTTCACAAAAGAAGGCAATAAAATCTTTTGCGTTTTTGTGATGTACATGAGCATGTAACAATGATATCCTCACTACAAGTAGAGTAACTGACATAGTCGAACGGATCCATTGGCTGAAGTGGCAACGGGGTGGCCATATAGCTGGACGAACCTAGCCCTAGCACTAGATAGAGTGATGACATGGCGAGACATGCAGAAAGGCAATCGATGCAGGTGGCTCATGTCTGTGTTTTGTGCCATTGGAACAAGCATATGTTCAGTTGTGGACTTAAGATGATAATAATAATAATGATAATCGCAATAAATAGCTTAAAATTATTTTTCATAATTTTATTTCATTTCTAAAAAATTCAAAAGTTAAATGTAAGCAGTAAACTAACCAATTCTAATAGCACATTTTTATATAATGTTCATTTTTAATAATATTTCAAGTCTGTAACACATTTGAAGGATTATGGAGATTTGCCAGTGAGTTTAATTGTTTATTAACAATGTTTTCATTATTATGTAAACACATTTTTTGTTATCAAATTTATAATAACGACATAATTTATTATTTTAGATCAAAAAAATGTCGATATTTAGTTTACAATTTTAATAAATATGTTATATAATTTGACCTTAAAATATTAGGAACACACAACGTTTGGACAGACGTTAACTTAAATTAGGCGTTATTGTAGTTTAACTAAAAGGCTAGAAAGGGTTTTAGTTAGATGTTGGTGGAACCCATTCATCATTCAACTAACTGTCACATAAACACGAAATAGTTATTCCACTTATCATTCTCACCTACAAGGTCTTTCGTCCGTTTCCAAAGTCGACTCTTACAACACCCACAAGAAGATAGTAGTAGTAGTAAGTAATAGAATTGTTTTATGTCGTATCCACCACATTCATGTGAATAATATGTCAAATATGTTTCTCAATAGCGATATAAAATTTCGATTGTTGTTTCTTGGATGGAACATGTAAAACGATAATAATACAATTTTATTGGTATTTCTATTAACAAAAAATATTTCTTTATTTTTATTTTTTGCTATTAATAATGTTTTCGTTATATTGGAGCAAAGGCTGTCGTTCATTAGAAGCGTGTGTGTGTTGTCAGCGTAACCTAAAGCCGGAGAGGGTGTCCGCGGCAAGCACCACGCAGGCGTACTGACACTCGCGCTCGCCGCCCTCCGCCCGCTGTGCCTAGTGGCCGCCCGCTCGCCGCCCCGCCCGCCGCCCCGCTCGCCGCCCCGCTCGACGCCCCGCTGCCCACGATCGCTTCCGCTCCAGTCTCCGCGCGCACGCACGCACTCCACCCGATCACGTGACTAACGCAACGCTGTTTCCACTACGTGCACACGTTTCCCCCTTTCGTCGGCGTAGCTAGCGAGAAGGGAAAAGTAAAAAATTTGTTCCTCACGTGATTTATAAATACGTTTAACACCTTTTTTTGACAAGGTGTCATATTAAAAGAACACTTTTATATAGATAATGTGTACCATATTTTGTAAAGTGCATACGAATTTTTACTAAATTATGGCTAAATATTTCAAAAATTTGTATGTAATAATTTAAAGTAAATTTCATATAAAACAAATTCAATGCCAATAATCGCGTTCAAATTACGTCCTAGAATTGGATTTATTAGCCAGCCCAAGATAATTGTACTAGCTACGCCAATGTTTTTACACGTCGAGTTCTCTGTGTTTCATAGAAATATACCAATGTGCCTGGCTTTTAATATACTATTCTATAATAACATACACGAATGGGACAGATAAATATAATGTACGGTGTTTGAAAACATCTTTGAGGTTGTTAGTTTTTAGTAATTTTTATATAATCAGATTTCAACGCATTATTATGTATCCAGCATAGTGTTAATTTAAGTTTCTGAGAGTTCTTCCATTAATTTTAGTGAAATATATTTACGTGTATAATAATTTTGTTGCAAGATTAGTATGCTGTGTGCGCCTAAAAGTACCCATATTATATCTAAAACCTTAAGAAAATTGCACTCATAAAATTCTCACAATACGTAAAAATAAAATCTCTTCTGTCTCGAGCGTGTACATTGTTTAAAGCTTGTTACGTTATTATACTTTCTTCATTTATTTATGTAAAGTTAAGCATGTACTTTGAAACAGCTATTATTTTAAAAATTGTTTTATTGCGTATTTTATTCCATTGTTCAGCGAATTGTTTATATTATCCCCTCAAACATGACTCCTAGGGCAATTACCCTCATAAATCACTTGGACGAGTCAAATGTGTATACTTCATAAATTACAATGTCAATATATTGTAAGTGGTCCGCATGGCAGTATGCTGATGCCCAGATAATTACATAAATAAATATATTTGATCTTACATAAAAATTATAAAAGTCAATTCACTAGAATTTCGACCTTTGAATACAATTATATTATATTAATACTATATCAGCCTTAATCGTCCCTTTAATTTCCATCCATATATTCACATTGGACGTTCAATATTTCGCAATCTTGCCCCGCTTGCACATGTATATAGTAATTACTTAAAGAAAATTTTGTAACGTTATTATGTCGTCTTGTTGAATTTTATTGAGACAAGTGGAGTAACTCCTTTTAATTATATAATGATATGATTAGGACCCATAAATACATTATTGTATTTATTCTTTAATCGGTCTCGTCGAATTATTCCTGATAAGTCTTTGGTATCAAACTTATTAAAGAATGTATTACATTCTAAAAGAAGGCTAAAATCTATTATAATATGCACATCATTATTTTATGCTACGGAAGGACGATTTCAAGAATGACACGACGAAGTCCTTAAGATATTGTCATACATTTGCCAAAATTATTTAGATTAACATTATTTAATTAGTTTTAATTGCGAAATAAAACGTCTCAAAAGTTAGCAACAACCGGCCAGCGTGAAACATCCACTAGAAGTAAGAAGTTATTCTGGTCCTCTTCAGAACAACCCTCCACATCATGATAAGGAAGTTTAATTTACATTTGGGCTATTTGTCATTTTAACAGTAATATCATATTCAGAGAGTTTCCTTTAAGAAACCAAGAAAGGAAATCATTCGTTTCTGTAGTCAATAGCGTTGTACTTTAGATTGTTGAACAATTAAAACTCAGTAATTCGACTCTCGAAGTTTTTTTCCTGCCTGTACCTTTATTTCTCTGGAGTAAGCTTTTAGGAAAGAACTTTATAATAGCCCAAATGTGTGTAAAGCCGTCTTATGTATGTTTTGTCCTAAAAGTAACGTCCATATTTTGAAATGATTTAGCATTAAGTAGCTGCTATAATTTTGAACTTTTGAAAGAGACTTGATCTGAAAAAAAAAAACCCTACATGTCCAATCTTCCAACAGCTTATTAAGAATTGAATATAAAAAGCAGAAAATGCAATATATTGTGTAATATTCAATTGATATTTGTATTACTATTATTTAAAAAAATAGACAACAAGAGATTTGTAAATATTTATGTTAATTATTTATCGCATTTTCTGCGCAGCCTTAACTTTGTGTAAACAAAATGCCATCAGAAAACTATTTCCATCAGATGTAAATATATATTATAACTGTATACACAAATATATCTAAATAATATGTATAATATTAATACAATATCTTTAATTGATACATATTATTACTATTTAGGTTTACGAAACCTTGTTAAGATATTGTTGTTTCATTTAATTTCTGTCAATTATCGTGTCAAAATGGCGTTGCATTAGTTTGCTGGGTATAATAACAGTCAATTCTTTTTGTATGTACGTAGAAGTGCTTACCATATTGTTACAAGATCAGTCAATTCAAATGTAAGTGTCCTAATTTTGCTCATTGAATTTAATGGTTTTATTTTTACTCATTTAAATGCTCAATGTTATAGTTTTATAAATGATATTAGTTGAACAAAATTTTCCATCGTTTTTAACGCTATTTATTTTATTATTGCTCATTAAGCAAAATTCAACGAGTATTGCGTCAATTGCTTTTCAATACGTCATCTTGTACTCCTGTTTTATGTTTCTTTATCGTGTGAGTGTTGTAAACGATTATTATTTATTAGGAACTATATTGGACTCCGATGAAACCGTTAAAATGTTATTGTTACCAGTAGTTTAGGCACTGATGATTGTTTGTTGTATTATAAATTAACTATTGATTAAGATGAAATATTACTACTTAATCATTTGTCTCACTAATAAATTTCGTGAACATAATGATCTTATACTTTTCAGAAATTTGTTAAAGTTGAAAGTGAATATGGTCAAAGCATTCCATTTGTCACAGTTGTTGGTTAATAAATACCTATGGCACTATTGCAATAATACCGAGTATCAACTTACAATAAAGATAAATATGATTTACTAAGTCTGTAGGCTATATAAAACCACCCGTTCCGACGTTAGTAAATCTTACCAAATTTTTCAAATAATGGATATGTAATAAGGCGTTATGTAATAATATCTGTTGTACTGTCACAAAGGGAGAGTATTAAATGTCAAATGTTGCTCGATTGTTACCTATTAAGTTATTAAGAGATTTGGACAGAAATATTTGTATTTTGACATGTTTATACAAATGGTAAAATCTCAATAAATATTATAGTCCATTGTACAGAGTAGATAATATTTAGTATTTAGTATATCATCTTCGTAAATTCTAGTGAATAATAACCTTGGAATACTAACTATCTTAAAAATTTCGTATCAATTTTGTTGCATGACAAATGCGCCACTGTTGTTAGTTTAAAAAAAAACAATATTTTCTGCTTGTCTCAAAAATAATTTTTAATAACCCCATCTGTAACGAGGCCTATAAAAGTATGTTGCGTTTTTCCTGCATCCAAAAGACGATGTGTGAAATGTGGCAACTTTGTCATGTACAAGATTTAACATATTATTACAATAAACATAAGCTGATATTATTATTATTATTATTGTAGCGGCTTAAAGGCGGGCGCCGGGTGAATAATACCTTACCTTACTTTGGTATTTAGATGTAGATCATTGAGTTGGCATATATCTGATCAAACGTTATTGTAAATTTGCTGTACAGTAATCTATAAAGTTGTTGCCGTTGTGTCGCGCCCGAACGACAGTTTCACGCGGCTGTCTATCTACCGAACAATTTGAATACTTTGTATTATGTCATTGTAAATAGAATACGAATTAGTAGTTTAGAAGCGTTAAGGGATGTAATTGTAGTGTTTTATTTTTTTAAACTTCTATAAAATGAATATAATGGGGACACGGTGAAGATGGCGCGGTCGGGCGCGACGGCCGGCGCGAACGAAACAATGCTGCGATATTCCTTGTGCCCCTCGAAATATCAGTGCGTTATGAGTCGAGATGTATAGACGAAGCGGTAGTGTTATGTGTACAGATGTGTTATACAAGCTCGAGTCAGGCGGAAGAGACCGACACTTGCCAGCCGGTTCGAGCGAACGACGACTAGCTATGAATCCTGACATCGGCTCACTTTAATTAGCTTATAAATATTTCATCAAAATATAAAATACACAAAAAAAATGGATATAAATTTTTCGACCAAGTGCTGGTTGTTTTTAAATTATTAAAATGTAAAAAAAAATTAGAGTATATACAAAGCATAGGTACAATTTATGAATTATACTTTTCTTTTTGGCATTTCATGTCACAGTGGAAAGGACTTACTTGCTACTCGGAAATCGTTATCTTTATACTCAGTTTCTCTTGTTGAAGCAAACTGACAGTCGTATGTTAATATTAATTATGGAGTTCTTTTTGCTCACGTCCTCTTCCATTGCTTTTTATTTCGCCATCTTATCGTATAATTTTATTTTTAAGGCAGGGTAATGCAGAATGAGGTACTTTTTGTTTTTGAACATTGATGATAAGTTCGAATGTTTGAAAATGAGTTGAGTTGATTTTATCCATTCAATGGAGTTTGTATTGTTATGAAAGAAACAAGAGTTTGTTGTTTTATTATTAAATTAGTCATTTTGAATTTCTTGATTACTGAGGCAGCAATTAGTTATTTACGTTCGTCAAGTTACCACAAACAATAGTCAAAAGTAGGCTCTCTTTGGCGACGCCTCATTACCATAATGAGAATTTCGTTGATGCAGACGCGATGCGTCTGCTGAGTGCGAAAATAATAAGACAGTATTACATCATGCA